GCACGGTAGAGGACGCCACCTACACGGTAGACGACGCCACCAACACGGTAGACGACGCCACCAGCACGGTTGAGGACGCCACCAGCACGGTAGACGACGCCACCAGCACGGTTGAGGACGCCACTAACACGGTAGATGACACCACCAACACGGTAGACGACGCCACCAACACGGTAGACGATCCCACCAGCAAGGTAGAGGACGCCACCAGCACGGTTGAGGACGCCACCAGCACGGTAGACGACGCCACTAACACGGTAGACGACGCCACCAACACGGTAGACGACGCCACCACATGGTAGATGACCCCAACAACACGGCAGAGGACGCCACCAGCACGGTAGATGACGCCACCAGCACGGTAGACGACGGCAAAAAAACCAAAACCCCCCCCCCCCCAAACCGGGGCCCCCAAAAAACCCCCAAAAAGGGGACCCCCCCCGGGGAAAAATTCCCCCAACCCGGGGGGGAAAAAACCCCCCCCCCCAAAACGGGGCCCCCCCAAAAAAAAAACCCCCCCAAAAACCCCCCAAGGGGAAAAAACCCCCAAACCGGGGCCCCCCCAACCGGAAACGGAAAAAACCCCCCAAACGGAAAAACCCCCCCCCCAAACCGGGGCCCCCCCCCCAAACCCCCAAACCGGGCCCCCCCAAACCGGGCCCCCCCCGGGGGCCCCAAAACGGGGGCCCCAAAAGGGGCCCCCCAAAGGGGGGAACCCCCAAGGGTAAACGCCCCCCCCAAAACCCCCCCCCCCCCCCAAACCAAAACCCCCCCAAACCAAAACCCCCCCAAACCGGGACGACGCCACCCAAAACCCCCCAAGGGGGAACCCCCAACCCCGGGGGCCCAAACCCCCGGAAAACCCACCCCCGGAAAACCCCCCGGGGGGGCCCCCCAAAGGGGGCCCCCAAACGGGGGCCCCAAACGGGGCCCCCCCCCGGGGGCCCCCACCCCGGGGAAACCCCCCGGAAAACCCCCGGAAAACCCCCCAAAGGGCCCCCCACCCCGGGGGCCCCCCACCCAACGGGGGCCCCAAAGGGGCCCCCCCCCCGGGCCCCCCAAAAACGGAAGGGAAAACCCCAAAGGGGGCCCCCGGGCCCAACCCCCCGGGGGCCCCCACCCCGGGGCCCCCCACCCCGGGGCCCCCCACCCGGGGCCCCCAAACCCCGGGGGCCCCCCCCGGAAACCCCCCCAAAAAGGCCCCCCAAAAACCCCAACCAAAGGGGACGCCCCACCAATGGAAGGCCCCACCAAGGGGACCCCCCAACCAAAGGGGACCCCCCAACCAAAAACCCCCCAACCAAGGGGACCCCCAACCAAGGGGACGCCCCACCAAGGGGGGCCCCCCCCGGGGGGCCCCCCCCCAAAAAGGGAAACCCCCCCAAAAAACCAACCCCCAGGGAAACCCCCCCCAAAAACCCCAAGGGGAAACCAAACCCCAAAAAAAAACGGAAGGGAAAAACCGGAAGGGGAAAACCGGGGGAAACCCCCCCCCAAAAAACGGAAAAAAACCCAAAAAAACCGGAAGGGGAAAACACGGGGAAACGGAAGGCCCCCAAAACGGAAGGGAAAAAGGGCCCCCCCCAAAAAAACCCACCCCCCAAAAACCCACCAACCCCAAAAAAACCCCCCCCAAAAAAAAACGGAAGGGCCCCAAACGGAAGGGCCCCAAAACCCAAAACCCCCCAAAAAAACCCCCCCAAAAAAAAAACCCAAAAAAACGGAAGGGGAAAACGGAAGGGGAAAACCCAAAACGGGGCCCCCCCCGGAAGGGAAAAAAACCAAACCCCAAAAAACCAAACCCCAAAAAACCAACCCCAAAAAACCACCCCAAAAAACCAAACCCCAAGGGGAAAACCAACCCCCCGGGGGCCCCAACCCCAACCGGGCCCAACCCCCAAAAGGGGAAACCCCCCCGGGCCCCCCCCGGGCCCAACCCCAAAACGGAAAAAACCCCCCCCGGAAAAAGACGGAAAAACCCCCCAAAACGGGCCCAACCCCCAAAAAAACCCCCCCCAAACGGGGGCCCCAAACGGGGGCCCCAAAAACCAACCCCAAGGGGAAACCAAACCCCAAAAAACCAACCCCAAAAAACCAACCCCAAGGGAAAACCCCCAAGGGGAAAACCCCCCAAAAAAACCCCAAGGGAAAAACCCCCAAGGGGCCCCCCCCCCCCAAAAACCAACCCCAAGGGGGCCCCCCCAAAAAAACCCCCCCCCAAAACGGGGGGAAAAAAAGGGGCCCCCCCCGGGGAAACCCACCCCCCAAAGGAACCCACCCCCCAAAAACCCCCCCCAAAAACCCACCCCCAAAAACCCCCCAACCCCGGGGGCCCCCCAACCGGGGGGCCCCCCAACCCAAAGGAACCCAAACCCCCAAAGGAACCCACCCCCCAAAAACCCACCCCCCAAAAAACCCCCCAACCCCGGGGCCCCCCCCAAACCTTAGGCCCCCCAACCAAGGGGACCCCCAACCAAGGGGACGCCCCACCCCGGGGACGCCCCACCAAAGGGGAACCCCCACCAAAGGGGACCCCCCACCAAGGGGAACCCCCAACCAAGGGGCGGCCCCAACCAAGGGGACGCCCCAACCAAGGGGACCCCCCAACCAAAAAAACCCCCCAACCGGGGGGCCCCCCCCGGGGGGCCCCCCAACCGGGGGCCCCCCCCCCCCCCAACCCCGGGGGCCCCAACCCCGGGGGCCCCCCAACCGGGGGCCCCCCAACCGGGGGCCCCCCCCCGGGGGGCCCCCCCTTTTCCCCCCCCAAAAAACCCCCCCCCGGGGGCCCCCCCCCCAAAACCCCCAAAAAAAAACCCCCCAAAGGGTAGACGACCCCCCAAAAGGGGGCCCCCCCAACCAAAACCCCCCCAAAAGGGGGCCCCCCCGGGGGGCCCCCCCACCGGGGGCCCCCCCACCCCCCCCAAGGGGACCCCCAACCCCCCCCCACCACCAAAACCCCCCAAACCGGTAGACGCGCCACCAACACGGTAACGACCCACCAACACGGTAGACGACCCCACCAACAGGGTAGACGACCCCCAAAAACCCCAAAACCGGACCCCCCAAAAAACCCCCCACCCCGGGGGCCCCCACCCCGGGGGCCCCCACCCCGGGGGCCCACCCACCCCGGGCCCCCCACCCCGGGGGCCCCCACCCAAAACCCACCCAACCCCCCCCCAAACCCCCCCAAAGGGGGAAAAAAAACCCAAAAAAACGGGGCCCCCCAAACCGGGGAAAACGGGCCCCCCCAAACCGGGCCCAACCCCAAAACGGAAGGGGAAAAACGGAAGGGGAAAACGGGCCCAACCCCCCGGGGGGCCCACCCCCCCCCCCACCCCGGGGCCCCCAAAAAGGGGCCCCCCAAAGGGGGCCCCCCCAAAAAGGAACCCACCCCCGGAAACCCACCCCCCAAAAACCCACCCCCCAAAGGGAAAACCCACCCCGGAAGGAACCCACCCCCCAAAACCCCCCCAAAAAAAAACCCCCAAACCCACCCCCCAAAAACCCACCCCCCAAAGGAACCCCCCCCGGAAACCCAAACCCCGGAAACCCCCCCCGGGGGGCCCCCCCCAAAAAACCCCCCAAAACCAAGGCCCCCCCCAAAACCCCACCCCCCGGGGGGCCCCCCCCGGGGGGCCCCCCCCCCCAAAAAACCCCCGGAAACCCACCCCCCCAAAAACCCACCCCCGGAAACCCCACCCCGGAAAACCCCCCAAAAAAAAGGGAAGGAACCCAAACCCCCGGAAGGAACCCACCCCCCAAAGGAAACCCCCGGAAAACCCAAACCCCCAAAAACCCACCCCCCCGGGGGCCCCCACCCCGGGGGCCCCCACCCCGGGGGCCCCCACCGGAAACCCCCCCACCCCGGGGGCCCCCCACCCGGGAACCCCCCCCAAAAAACCCCCGGAAAACCCCCCGGAAACCCACCCCCCAAAACCCACCCCCGGAAACCCACCCCCGGAAGGAACCCACCCCAGGAAACCCACCCCCGGAAACCCACCCCCGGAAACCCACCCCCCAAAACCCACCCCCGGAAAACCCACCCCGGGGAAACCCACCCCCGGGGCCCACCCAACCCCGGGGCCCCCCAAACCCAAAAACCCACCCCCCAAAAACCCAAACCCCCAAAAAACCCCCAAACCCACCCCCCAAAAACCCACCCCCGGAAAACCCACCCCCGGAAACCCCCCAAACCCGGGGCCCCCCCCCGGGGCCCCCCACCCCGGGGGCCCCCACCCCGGGGGCCCCCCCCCGGGGCCCCCCACCCAAAAACCCCCCCCGGAGGGGGCCCCCCAACCGGGGGGCCCCCCAACCCCAAAAAACCCCCCCAAAACCAAAAACCCCCCAACCAAGGGGACCCCCCAACCAAGGGGACGCCCCACCAAAGGGGACGCCCCAAAAGGGGAAGGCCCCAACCAAAGGGGACGCCCCAACCAAGGGGAACGCCCCAAAAGGGGACGCCCCAACCAAAGGGGACGCCCCAACCAAAGGGGAAGCCCCCAAAGGGGGGGGGTTAACCCCACCAAAGGGAAGGCCCCCCCCCCCGGGGCCCCCCAACCCCGGGGGGCCCCCACCCCGGGGGCCCCCACCCAAAAAAACCCCCAAAAACCCCCCAAACCCCAAAAAACCAACCCCAAAAACCAAACCCCAAAAACCAACCCCCCCCAAAAAACCCCCCCGGGCCCCCCCCCCAAAAACCCCCCAAAAAACCAAACCCCAAAAAACCAACCCCCAAAAAACCAACCCCCCCCCAAAAAAGGGGCCCCACCCCAAAAAACCCCAAAAAAACCCCAAAAAACCAACCCCAAAAAACCAACCCCAAAAAAACCCCAAAAAAAACCCCAAGGGGAAACCGGGCCGGGGGCCCCCCCCCAAAACCCCCCCAAACCAAAACCCCCCCAAACCAAAACCCCCCCCCCCAAAAAAACCGGGGCCCCCCAAACCAAGGCCCCCCCAAACCAAAACCCCCCCAAAAAAACCCCCCCCCCAAAACCCCCCCCAAGGCCCCCCCCAAAACCCCCCAAACCGGTAAACCCCCCCCAAACGACGCCACCAACACGGTAAACCCCCCCCGGGGGCCCCCCCCAAAACCCCCCCAAACCAAAACCCCCCCAAAAAACCCCCCCCAAAACCCCCCCAAACAAAGGGCCCAAACCCGGGGGGCCCCCCCCGGGGGCCCCCCAACACCCGGGGGGCCCCCCAACCCCGGGGGCCCCCCCCGGGGGAAAAACCCCGGGGGGCCCCCCCCGGGGGCCCCCCCCCGGGGGCCCCCCCAAAACGGGGGCCCCCCCAAAACGGAACCAACCCCAAGGGAAAAACCCCCAAGGGGAAACCAAACCCCAAAAACCAACCCCAAGGGGAAACCAAACCCCAAAAACCCCCGGGGGGAAAACCCCAAGGGGCCCAACCCCCAAAGGGCCCCCCCCCAAAACCCCCAAGGGAAAAAAAGGGGAAACCACCCCAAGGGGAAACCAACCCCAAAAAAACCCCCAAAAAACCAAACCCCAAAAAACCAACCCCAAGCCCCCCCCAAACGGGGGCCCCAAAACGGGGCCCCCCCCAAAAAAAAAACGGAAAAAAACGGAAGGGAAAGGACCCCGGGGGCCCCCCACCCCCCGGGGGAAGGGGAAAACGGAAGGCCCCCAAAACGGAAAGGGGAAACCCCCCCCCCCCCCCCGGGGGCCCCCCCGGGGGGGGGCCCCCCCCCCCCCGGGGGCCCCCCCCGGGGCCCCCCACCCGGGGCCCCCCAAAGGGGGCCCCCACCCCGGGGGAAAGGGGCCCCCCCAAAACGGGGCCCCCCCAAAACGGGGGCCCCAAAACGGGGGCCCCAAACGGGGCCCCCCCAAAACGGGGCCCCCCCCCAAACGGGCCCCCCCAAAACGGGGCCCCCCCAAAACGGGGCCCCCCCCAAAAAACCCAAAAAAACCAACCCCAAGGGGAAACCACCCCAAGGGGAAACCAAACCCCCAAAAAACCAACCCCCAAAAAAACCCCCAAAAAACCAACCCCAAAAAACCAAACCCCAAGGGGAAACCAAACCCCAAAAACCAAACCCCCAAAAAAACCCCCAAGGGGAAACCAACCCCAAAAAACCAAACCCCAAAAAACCAAACCCCCAAAAAACCAAACCCCAAAAAACCAAACCCCAAAACGGGGCCCCCCCAAAAAAAAAACCCCCCCAACCCCGGGGGCCCCCCTAACGGGGGCCCCCCAACCCCAAAAAACCCCCCAACCGGGGGGCCCCCCAACCGGGGGGCCCCCCCCGGGGGGCCCCCCACCCCGGGGACCCCAAAAACCCCCCCCAAAAGGGGGACGCCCCAACCAAAGGGGAACCCCCCAACACGGTAAGGACCCCACCAAAGGGGGGCCCCCCACCACCAAAAACCCCCCCAAACCAAAACCCCCCCCAAAACCCCCCCCAAAACCCCCCCAAAACCGGGGACGCCCCACCAAAAAACCCCCCACCAAGGGGAACGCCCCAACCAAAAACCCCCCCCTTAGGCCCCCCCCAAAACCCCCCCCAAAACCCCCCCAAACCAAGGCCCCCCCCAAAACCCCCCAACCCCAAAAACCCCCCCCAAAACCCCCCCGGCCCCCCGGCCCCCCCAAACCAAAACCCCCCCAAACCAAAACCCCCCCCAAAACCCCCCCCAAAACCCCCCCAAACCAAAACCCCCCCCCGGGGAAGGCCCCCCAAAGGGGAAACCCCCAACCCCAAAAACCCCCCCCAAAACCCCCCCAAAAGGGGACGCCCCAACCAAAGGGGACCCCCCCCGGGGGGCCCCCCCCGGGACGACGCCACCAACAGGGAACGACCCCCCCAAACCCCCCCAAACCCCCCCAAAGGAAAACCCCCCCCAAAACCCCCCCCAAAACCCCCCCCAAAACCCCCCCCAAAACCCCCCCAAAACCAAAACCCCCCCCCCCCCCAAAGGGGGGCCCCCCAAAGGGGGCCCCCCCCCGGGGGGCCCCCCCCGGGGGGCCCCCCAAAGGGGCCCCCCCAAAGGGGGGCCCCCCCCGGGGGGCCCCCCCCCGGGGGGCCCCCCCCCGGGGGCCCCCCCCGGGGGGCCCCCCCCCCGGGCCCAACCCCAAACCGGGGCCCCCAAACCCCGGGCCCCCCAAACGGTGGGGCCCCCCCCTAAAAAACCCCCCCAAAAAACCCCCAACCCCCAAACCGGGGCCCCCCAAACCGGGCCCCCCAAACCCCCCAACCCCAAACCCAAAAAAAGCCCCAAACCCCCCCCCAAAAAACCCCCCCCCAAACCCCCAAAAACCCAAACCCCCCAAAAACGGAAGGGGAAAAACGGAAGGGGCCCCCCCAAAAGGGAAACCCCCCAAAAAACCCAAAAAAACCCAAAAAACCAACGAAGGGGAAAAACGGAAGGGGCCCCCAACCCCCGGGACCGGGGAAACCCCCAAACGGAAAAAAACGGAAAAAAACGGGCCCCCCAAACCGGTTTCCCCCCCGGTTCCCCCCCCCGGGGGCCCCCCCACGAGCACGGTAGACGACGCCACGAGCACGGAGACGACGCCACGAGCACGGTAGACGACGCCACCAGCACGGTAGACGACGCCACCAGCACGGTAGACGACGCCACCAGCACGGTAGACGACGCCACGAGCACGGTAGACGACGCCACCAGCACGGTAGACGACGCCACGCCACCAGCACGGTAGACGACGCCACCAGCACGGAGACGACACGGTAGACCACCAACACGGTAGACGACGCCACCAACACGAGACACGGTAGACGACGCCACGAGCACGGTAGACGACGCCACCAGCACGGTAGACGACGCCACCAGCACGGTAGACGACGCCACCAGCACGGTAGACGACGCCACCAGCACGGTAGACGACGCCACCAGCACGGTAGACGACGCCACCAGCACGGTAGACGACGCCACCAGCACGGTAGACGACGCCACCAGCACGGTAGACGACGCCACCAGCACGGTAGACGACGCCACGAGCACGGTAGACGACGCCACGAGCACGGACGACGACGCCACCAGCACGGTAGACGACGCCACCAGACGAGACACGGGTAGACGACGCCACGAGCACGGTAGACGACGCCACCAGCACGGTAGACGACGCCACCAGCACGGTAGACGACGCCACGAGCACGGTAGACGACGCCACCAGCACGGTAGACGACGCCACCAGCACGGTAGACGACGCCACCAGCACGGTAGACGACGCCACGAGCACGGTAGACGACGCCACCAGCACGGTAGACGACGCCACCAGCACGGTAGACGACGCCACCAACACGGTAGACGACGCCACCAGCACGGTAGACGACGCCACCAGCACGGTAGACGACGCCACCAGCACGGTAGACGACGCCACCAGCACGGTAGACGACGCCACCAGCACGGTAGACGACGCCACCAGCACGGTAGACGACGCCACCAGCACGGTAGACGACGCCACCAGCACGGTAGACGACGCCACCAGCACGGTAGACGACGCCACCAGCACGGTAGACGACGCCACCAGCACGGTAGACGACGCCACCAGCACGGTAGACGACGCCACCAGCACGGTAGACGACGCCACCAGCACGGTAGACGACGCCACCAGCACGGTAGACGACGCCACGAGCACGGTAGACGACGCCACGAGCACGGTAGACGACGCCACCAGCACGGTAGACGACGCCACCACGGAGACACGGTAGACGACGCCACCAGCACGGTAGACGACGCCACCAGCACGGTAGACGACGCCACCAGCACGGTAGACGACGCCACCAGCACGGTAGACGACGCCACCAGCACGGTAGACGACGCCACCAGCACGGTAGACGAGACGACGCCACCACCAGCACGGTAGACGACGCCACGAGCACGGTAGACGACGCCACCAGCACGGTAGACGACACGGTAGACGACGCCACCAGCACGGTAGACGACGCCACGAGCACGGTAGACGACGCCACCAGCACGGTAGACGACGCCACCAGCACGGTAGACGACGCCACCAGCACGGTAGACGACGCCACCAGCACGGTAGACGACGCCACGAGCACGGTAGACGACGCCACCAGCACGGTAGACGACGCCACGAGCACGGTAGACGACGCCACCAGCACGGTAGACGACGCCACCAGCACGGTAGACGACGCCACCAGCACGGTAGACGACGCCACCAGCACGGTAGACGACGCCACGAGCACGGTAGACGACGCCACGAGCACGGTAGACGACGCCACCAGCACGGTAGACGACGCCACGAGCACGGTAGACGACGCCACCAGCACGGTAGACGACGCCACGAGCACGGTAGACGACGCCACACAGCACGGAGACGACGCCACCACGGTACCACGGTAGACGACGACGCCACCAGCACGGTACGGTAGACGACGCCACCAGCACGGTAGACGACGCCACCAGCACGGTAGACGACGCCACCAGCACGGTAGACGACGCAACACGGTAGACGACACCACCAGCACGGTAGACGACGCCACCAGTAGACGACGCCACCAGCACGGTAGACGACGCCACCAGCACGGTAGACGACGCCACCAGCACGGTAGACGACGCCACCAGCACGGTAGACGACGCCACCAGCACGGTAGACGACGCCACCAGCACGGTAGACGACGCCACCAGCACGGTAGACGACGCCACCAGCACGGTAGACGACGCCACCAGCACGGTAGACGACGCCACCAGCACGGTAGACGACGCCACCAGCACGGTAGACGACGCCACCAGCACGGTAGACGACGCCACCAGCACGGTAGACGACGCCACCAGCACGGTAGACGACGCCACCAGCACGGTAGACGACGCCACCAGCACGGTAGACGACGCCACCAGCACGGTAGACGACGCCACCACGGTAGACGACACGGTAGACGACGCCACCAGCACGGTAGACGACGCCACCAGCACGGTAGACGACGCCACCAGCACGGTAGACGACGCCACCAGCACGGTAGACGACGCCACCAGCACGGTAGACGACGCCACCAACACGGTAGACGACGCCACCAGCACGGTAGACGACGCCACCACGCACGGTAGACGACGGGTAGACGACGCCACCAGCACGGGTAGACGACGCCACCAGCACGGTAGACGACGCCACCAGCACGGTAGACGACGCCACCAGCACGGTAGACGACGCACACCACCAGCACGGTAGACGACGCCACCAACACGGTAGACGACGCCACCAGCACGGTAGACGACGCCACCAGCACGGTAGACGACGCCACCAGCACGGTAGACGACGCCACCAGCACGGTAGACGACGCCACCAGCACGGTAGACGACGCCACCAGCACGGTAGACGACACCACGAGCACGGTAGACGACGCCACCAGCACGGTAGACGACGCCACCAGCACGGTAGACGACGCCACCAGCACGGTAGACGACGCCACCAGCACGGTAGACGACGCCACCAGCACGGTAGACGACGCCACCAGCACGGTAGACGACGCCACCAGCACGGTAGACGACGGTAGACGACGCCACCAGCACGGTAGACGACGCCACCAGCACGGTAGACGACGCCACGGTAGACACGGTACGGTACGACGCCACCAGCACGGTAGACGACGGTAGACCACGCCACCAGCACGGTAGACGACGCCACCAGCACGGTAGACGACGCCACCAGCACGGTAGACGACGCCACCAGCACGGTAGACGACGCCACCAGCACGGTAGACGACGCCACCAGCACGGTACGACGCCACCAGCACGGTAGACGACGCCACCAGCACGGTAGACGACGCCACGCCACCAGCACGGTAGACGACGCCACCAGCACGGTAGACGACGCCACCAGCACGGTAGACGACGCCACAGCACGGTAGACGACGCCACCAGCACGGTAGACGACGCAACACCAGACGACGCCACCAGCACGGTAGACGACGACGCCACCAGCACGGTAGACGACGCCACCAGCACGGTAGACGACGCCACCAGCACGGTAGACGACGACGGACGCCACCAGCACGGTAGACGACGCCACCAGCACGGTAGACGACGCCACCAGCACGGTAGACGACGCCACCAACACGGTAGACGACGCCACCAGCACGGTAGACGACGCCACCAGCACGGTAGACGACGCCACCAGCACGGTAGACGACGCCACCAGCACGGTAGACGACGCCACCAGCACGGTAGACGACGCCACCAGCACGGTAGACGACGCCACCAGCACGGTAGACGACGCCACCAGCACGGTAGACGACGCCACCAGCACGGTAGACGACGCCACCAGCACGGTAGACGACGCCACCAGCACGGTAGACGACGCCACCAGCACGGTAGACGACGCCACCAGCACGGTAGACGACGCCACCAGCACGGTAGACGACGGACACGGTAGACGACGCCACACACGGTAGACGACACGGGTAGACGACGCCACCAGCACGGTAGACGACGCCACCAGCACGGTAGACGACGCCACCAGCACGGTAGACGACGCCACCAGCACGGTAGACGACGCCACCAGCACGGTAGACGACGCCACCAGCACGGTAGACGACGCCACCAGCACGGTACGACGCCACGGTAGACCACCAGCACGGTAGACGACGCCACCAACACGGTAGACGACACGGTAGACGACGCCACCAGCACGGTAGACGACGCCACCAGCACGGTAGACGACGCCACCAACACGGTAGACGACGCCACCAGCACGGTAGACGACGCCACCAGCACGGTAGACGACGCCACCAGCACGGTAGACGACGCCACCAGCACGGTAGACGACGCCACCAGCACGGTAGACGACGCCACCAGCACGGTAGACGACGCCACCAGCACGGTAGACGACGCCACCAGCACGGTAGACGACGCCACCAGCACGGTAGACGACGCCACCAGCACGGTAGACGACGCCACCAGCACGGTAGACGACGCCACCAGCACACGGTAGACGACGCCACCAGCACGGTAGACGACGCCACCAGCACGGTAGACGACGCCACCAGCACGGTAGACGACGCCACCAGCACGGTAGACGACGCCACCACCAGCACGGTACGACGCCACGCACACGGTAGACGACCACGGTAGACACGGTAGGTAGACGACGCCACCAGCACGGTAGACGACGCCACGAGCACGGTAGACGACGCCACCAACACGGTAGACGACGCCACCAGCACGGTAGACGACGCCACCAGCACGGTAGACGACGCCACCAGCACGGTAGACGACGCCACCCACCAG